TAAAGGGTAAAACCTGCAGTTGAAAAAAAGCTTTGAATCTTTTTTTTTTGGAGAAAAAAAAAAACATATCATACAAAAATTAAAAAAACATTTATTGAGCAAATGAATGAGCAAAATAGGACTTCTATGTTTTTAATTTTTTATTTTATCTCTGGAGGCACAAACAGAGACATTAGGCTTAATAGCTAATCAGCAGCAGATGACCTAGGTTTTTCACATTTCTATTTTTCTAAAGCATTAATCATTGCATTTAATAAAAGACTTATACTCCTACAAGCATTGACTGTAGTATCAGTTTTGTAATTCACAGTATGGTGATATGTTTCACAGCATTCTCACTTACAAGCGTTTGTGTGACTGCAGAGTGGTATTACTTTTAAAGCTACAGTGTGTAATTTATAGCAACATCTAATGGTCAGAGTGCAGCAGAAGGCTTCTGCGATCCACCGCTGTGCTCCTCCACTCTCCTCCTGAGCTGGTTCTGTGGTTTCTTAGCTCTTCCTCTCAGATATGGAGCTCTCTCTGGTGTTCTCGCACTGATTTCCCACTGCTGCTACCTGAGCTCTAGAACATTGCTCACCTTACCTTGATTCATCCCCAAGTTTTGGAGAGTCTGACCAAAACAGACATGGACCAAGCACAGGAGAAAGATCCGAACATTGCCAATATTAATTTTTGTGGACACAAAAATTAATACACTGAAAGCCGGAGCCGGAACTTGAACTGACAAACCCTCCTTTTGCATGGCAAACCAGAATAATTAACTAGGAATAAACAAAATATAAAAATAAAACATGCAAATTATGCCAAGTTCTTGGTCATTTCTGCAAGTAACATAAGAAGTTCACCACCCTGAATTTGAGATCCAAACTGGCTTGATCGTGCTCACCACAGACATGTCATCACATACAGTAGTAGCCATTCAAAGTTTTCCCACTTTCCTTGATGGGCCCTTGGCTGGTCCCCTTTTTAAACATCAATCTTTGTAGTAAAATATTATTTCTGTCATGATTTGTGGCATTAAGATCTGAAGAGAAATGTCATCTCCTGGTCAGACCCTGTAATTCAGTGTAAGGGTGGAGTCAGACTAAACAAAATGCATGCCCAGGAGAAGGCCAGTGGAAGTTGGAGCGAATTCTGCTGGGAGTCACAAGGGAGTAGGATGCCAATTGGCTGGCTTTTGACTGGGATGGGCCATTTTGAATGGCTGCTACCACCATAGGAGGAGCTTTAGCTACTACTTCAACTCCATGGGTCCACAAAATTCTCCAGAGACGAAACCTTCTTGGAAAGTACCGCCACCAACTACAGTACAAGAACTGTGTCTGGTTAACGTCAGGTTCTGCTGTACTACCTTGTATCTATCTGGGTAGAGAAATCAGTACTGGGGAGAAGCAGCGGCTGGCCAGGGTCTGCACTGGACCAAAAGGTCAGTCCCTCTAGAGCTGAATTGAAATGGCTTTTTTAAAACCCACCTAAAACCTCTTAAGAGCATTCCTTATACCATCCTTTGTCAACATGATTTTCTCTGTAATCCATTCTGACAAAAAAAAAGCTTTGTCATGGCTGCACTCCTCCATCCTAAGTCACAGCCACAACCAGTCCCTGATTAGCTGCTGCAGCACGATATCACAGAAAAGTTCTGATTTTTCTAACCAAACTCTAACCAAATGGAACTCATCGCTTGCTGCTTCACCATCAGTGTTTGCAGGGTTTGCATAGCGATACAATGTGAATCCAAAACCTTTGCCATAGACACAGCATTTGGTGTGATTGTACCTTAACAGTGAAAGGCAGTTTTAAACCAACTGATTTTAAATTTTACTTAAAAGAACGTTTACAGTCTTCTGGGATTTTGTTGAAAATAATTGGAGCAAAGGAACTTAATGCTGCTTCTCCATATTTTGTTCTGGTCCTGGTTGTACAGAATAGGCTTGAACTAGAAGACCTGAGTGGTCTGAGAGGGCAATACATTCACAACAAATCTGTAATGTATTATTGTGCTGATCCATTCAGTGATTTATAGACAGAAGGATTTTAGAGTTTGTTCTTTCAGCTACAGTCTACCAGTGTAAGGACTTCAGAACCAGGCTAAGGGGCCTTTGTATGCAGACTGTTTAAGCCTTCAGCATGCAGCCCGTCTCACTCTATTGCAAGCAAAATCCATCCATCATCATTTCATTTTCTGGTTTTCTGGTGGTGTGGTTCCCTCTTTTCTACATATTAACCTTTAGCCAGATGCTTTAATCCTACAATCCATTGTTGCTCTGATGCATCAAACTTCGATAATTAATACAGCCAGAGAAAACTATGAGGGATTTGCTGTCCAAATACAGGACAATGTGTTATCAAAGAGTGGTGGTGCTCTAAGTTCTTTAAATTGTTAAATCGTTATTGATTTCTTTCACTTTAAATAATTCATGTCTGTTATTATTGTAATACTTCTGGGATCCAGAATGTGTATGCGCCCTAAAAGAAATTTATTTTTACTTCCCATATCTAATATGCGACAACTTCACCAACCAGGTTGAATTCATCTCATGAACATTTTTCAGCAGACTGATCAAGTATATTTTGAGCAATCAATCATAAAACTAGTAGCCATACTGACTTAAATGCTGACGTAGATCCCTCAGTCGATTCCTCTCCAGGCTGCCGTAGATAGCCCACAAAATTAACACTTTTCTTGACTCTCATTTATCATATTTATCGCCGGCAGCTAAGTTTCTATTGACCTCTCAACTTCTAAAAACTGCCTTTTGCAAGCGTACTGTAGATCAGGCCTAATCAACCACTTTGCCAGATGTCATAGGTAAGTTCATATCACTACCCATACTTTTTACGGGCAGCTTAAGCCAGCAGTCTATAAGCCTTTGCCAGGCATTACAGCCCATCTTTATCTTATTTTTATAGGCATTTTTTCACAGGCTTATACTTTCGGTTCTCATCCCACCTTTCATAGGCAGTAGGGTTGGGAATTGAAAAGATTTTCACGAGTCCGATTCCCTTTTCGATTCTATGAAACGATTCGATTCTTTATCGATTCTTTTTTCGATTCCAATTTGGGGAAAAAAGGAGAACAAACAGTTTGATTATCAGCAT